GTCCATCATTTTGCGAATCTGACTTCTGATAAACCATCATGTAACCTTAGGTGCAAATGATTGATCATTCAATCTATGCAACATATATAGTAGTCTTAAAACAGTCTTGTCTCAGTTGCTATTTCAAAGTGAGTTACACACATAGTTTAAAGTGTTCGAAACTATTCATGAGCAGCGTCTAAATGTTTTATGTGGAGAGTAATCAAAGATAGATGCCTAGTGGTACAATCGTTCGACCCCCTTCCCTTCCCGAAAAAGGCATACCATGACCCACAACACAATAAACGACATATATCAATAGCAGGATAATATCTGTCGCTTCTGTTTCGCCACATTAATAGGGTGCCTGCTCCAAACTGAATCAGATGTTCGCAACCGTAATTGGACTGCTGTCAATATTCAGCCAGCTAGAAAGAAACTTCACAAAACGGATTTGTGTACCAGACACCCAGTGAATATTCTCACGGCACGGCACAGAACAGCTCGCCTGCGGCAATGACGTCAAGAACTCGACCAACGATATCAAAAGCCATATTTCTTCTAAAGATGAGTTGCGCTCCACCAAGCAGCTAGATAATAGGCGTACACTCATATAGAGAAGATCCAGAGTCAGATTCTACCCCATTTTCAATAACACAACCAATATGTCGGCAGTGGAAATATAATGCAGACATAGAAAAGAAAAGGTTGAAGTACCGACTTTTACAATCTGTGAAATGATACTATTAATACCTCACATTACAGGAATAACATCCTATTACCTTTCGAACTATTATCAGTTAATACAATTACCCCTGACTTCAGCCTTATGGATGATAACACCCATTCTCATAATGGTAAACTGGTTGACACATTTCTTGAAGCAGAGTAGATTGACTGACAGCAATAGTCTGTGCGACACCTGATTTCAGTCACATTGATCATGTGACGTTTTGGTAAATGTCAAGTGCTGCTTCCAGACATTAAAATTTACTGGAAACAGCTGTTTCAGAAAAATGGCTTATGATACCTCAGAACCTTATCTATTGGCTATATTTTAAGCATGTAACAATAATGTTGACTGCCTCTGTTGTTCTCGGCTATTGTAAACTGAATGGCAAATCATTTGCAGTTCAAATCACTTGACGGGTCACCAGGTATCTAAGTTGCATAAATATGGATTGATGAGTGAGGTCGACATTTATTTATATTGTAAAAATTGTTTTGTCTGGTTGTAATTAAAATATCATAAGTTCCAGTCATAATTTAAGCGGTATATACAGTTTATGATTATTGTTAAGTTTATCTTTCATTTGGTATACACTATCTTATGATAATCATCAAATTAATGAACTAAAAATAGTTATTCTTATGGAAGAAAATAACCTTAAAAATTATATTATAGTTTTCTTACACAGTAGCGATGTTTGGAAACAAGTAGCGTGGCTGTGACTGTTTCTGTGACTCAGGGCACGGTAGCTTGGACTACAGCATATTTTTATGTCTTTAGTCTTCTGATTGAGGAAAAATATCAAGCATGTAACAACTACATGTATTCTGTAACTTCCTTTAGATCAAATTAACGATGTGTTAGAGCTTAGTAATGTTAGTTTAAAGATAAAATGATCATATTTATTATCTTCAATCAGAGATAGTAGGAAAGATGAATTTTTTCAACCGTTTTCGTCCACAAGAGAGATAAGGGCTAAATTAGTCTGATTTTTTTGTGCGTGCTTGCTTATTTCCACGCTCGAAGATGTGAATCGTAAAACGGAAACTCGCCAACTTTCAAATGTTTTTTTAGACTGTTGTTTCGGTAAGCATTCAAATTTCCCCTTCCCAGCATACGTTAACATAAAAGACTAATTCTTTGCTTGCTGTTCAGAGACGACGCAACCTATCAGTGCTATAAGAATATGACAAATAAGACAGCAAAATAAGGAAACAGCTTCTACCACAATCACCAATTTAAAAACAAAGCTGAAATAAATGTAAACGAAGTTTATGACTGTGGTAGAAACATGAGAATTTATTCCTAGAAGAGTTCTGAAAATATAAGATGTAAATATAAAAAATACAGGATTTATGTCAAGAAGAGTAAATAAATGCAAGCTGTATTTGTAAAAAGTACATGGTTTATGAAAGAACAGTCCATGCTCTATGTTAAAAAAAAGTACACAAATACAACGATTGAAATGTAACGCATGATGGAAATTTAAATGTTTTTCGAAGGGAAAATGCTTTAACGTAGCTGAGAGGTTAAACGATTAAATTAGCTGAGAAACAAAAATTAGCATGGATATAAGAATGATCTTATCACATTAAATAAGTCATAAACGTACACGAATTTGAAATGAATAAAGATGTTGGAAATTACCAATGCAGAAATCAATAGTTACTATTCAACAACAGATACAAGTAACGTGAGTATCAAGGAACATAGTTTAACCAAAATGTTCTCTCGTTGCAGAAAGGAATAAAATCTATTCAACAACAGATACTATTAACGTGAGTTTCAGGAACATAGTTTAACCAAAATGTTCTCTCATTGCAGAAAGGAATAATATCTATTCAGCAGCAGATACAAGTGACGTGAGTATCAAGGAACATATTTTAACCAAAATGTTCTCTCATTGCAGAAAGGAATAATATCTATTCAGCAGCAGATACAAGTGACGTGAGTATCAAGGAACATAGTTTAACCAAAATGTTCTCTTGCTAAACAAGTATTCACGTTTGCATGCATTGTCACTTAATTCCATTATAAATCATAAATATTCTGATCAAACCTCACGATATCTCAGTGAATTAATAAGATAAGTTTCATGCATATTAAAACACCTGTTTATTGCTTTTTTTCGACATTCTAAATTAATTAGTGCAATGGCGTTTGAGGACATTCTAACCCAACTAGTTTAGTTTTGTCCCCTACTCTTGTGTTTTTCACAACAGACAGTTGCCGACCATTTCAGTTTACTCATTATGAATACTCTGCCCAAATAATCTATCAAAGAAAACCAATTCAGAGTATCTTACAGGACACTCGGATACTCAGAATAATTTGAACAAAATTTAATCATATTATATTTCTTATGATATAATTCATGTAAAATTGACCAAATAATAGTTGTTTTCGTAAACAAAATACACAAAAATGATAAAATATTTATTCTTATGTGAAATAACATACATATCAGGTGACTGAATTATATACTGGTGTTTATTTATGACTAGCAAAGTACAAGGCGTTGCTCGGATGAAAATGGCTTTAAATATCTTGAGCTGTTTTGATTAAATCAAGCATATTAATCGTGATTTTTTTGCAAAACAAAATCAAAATGATTTCTTTACCTAACTAAACATTTTGATTAAAAATCAGGGAAAATAATAATGTGCGAAAACAATAAAATTAGCTAAAGCTATTTCAATCAAAGCAAAGCCGGGTACATTGCTCCTGCTTCTTGGATGTGCTTTGCATGACATTTTAAGTTTCCCAGACAAAATTATCTACCTTTTATTGTCCTGATTTCTGCTGTGTTGTCAAATGCCATTTGTGGCGTATTCTGACTTTATTATCGTTCAATTTAATGAAGAATTAATTCATTCTCTTGTCGATGCAACACAACGTAAATGAAAATTTGCCAATACCAAACGTTTTTGTAAAGTCATCGGATAGATGATTCTTGCGAGTACACGCAAGCAAAGCAAAAGATATTGCTGAAATAAGCTTACTTAGTTGGTGGAGTGTGTGCGCATGTTCGAGAGAAAGCACCAGCCTTTTTCGGTTGAGAGGAGGTATATATGATAAGAAGAAAGAATAAGGAAGTGAAAGAGCACAAATGAAAGCTCCACAAAGTTTTTAAATCATTTTGACACATAATTGATCACGGGTAGAATGATTAGGATATAGTATCTTTCTTGAGAAGGTGTTGGTTGAGGAGAAATAAACAAAGAAAAGGTTGATGCTAGACTGTAAAACTAGCTTTACTGCACGATTTTAAAATCTTGAGGGAAAAAAGTAAAATTTTTTCGTTTGTTTGTAAGTAAGCACAAAGCTACACAATGGGCCATCTGTGTTTGCCCACCACAGGTATCGGAACCCGGTTTCTAGCATTGTAATTCCGAATACATACCGTTGTGCCACTGGGATGGGGGCACATTTTTCGTTAAATTTCTTTTAACTAAAATACATACAGATGAATAGATAGTGATGTATTATTTTTGTATTAGTAAAAAATTTATATTTAGAAAGAATATTGATAACTGGATTATACAAGCATTTATCTTTTTGCATGTGAGTTAATTCACAGTTTTTATCAGTTATGGATTTTTAAATGTTAATTATGATATAAAAACAATCTCAATACATACTAAAAAAATAAACATGAAACAGTACATATGTTTTACCTACTCAAAGCTCGAGTATATAGCTTGAAAGAACAATACACACATATACATATATAGATAGAAAGGGAGAGAAAGAGTAAGATGATAATATTTGTTAAACTTTAGAAGCAGGCTGTGTGATAAGCACATGTGGTATATTAACATATACCCGTAGATAAAATGAATTTTGTAATATAGTTAATACGGAAATGTATTGTGAAAAGTGACGGTTTTAGAAACTAAATATAAAATTTTCCTTTTTGACTGTAGTTAGTACAACAAATGAAATTTTTATAATCTCTATGACTGTAGTAAGTACAACAAATGAAATGTTTATACAGTCCATATTTAATACGCACAAACTCATTAATATTGATTGATTGGCTGTTTCAAACAACCGGCAACAGGCTTGGTATGGCACTATTTAACAGTGAAGATGAAGCGCAACAACCCTTTTCCTGGATCCTGAACTCAGCTGTTTAGAACCCGGCACCAAAACAGGTCAATATATTCTTTGATGAAGCGATGGTTGCTTAGTAACATCCACGTGACTGGTTCTCATTCGATGTATGCAGTACAAGGTCTGGTAATATGCTAGTCTTCTTCAGTTACCCTCGTCTGCTGTGCTAGGAAGTTATTGTAATTTCTTAAAGCAATAAGAAACTTACGTTACAAAATTACTTCAATGTATGTAAATGACTAATGAAGCTAACTTAATTTATTATTGATTGCTTTAGATAGTTATATTGGTAGTATTTGGTTACGTTGTAATTTTTATTTGTATTGGAACTTGAGTAAATCTGATGTCCTCGTGTATCTCACAAGGATGACAAGAGGGCAGATATTATGATGTAAAGAAGAAACTGCAAAACCACAGATCGTTTACCATTTTCTTCCATATTGGCTGAACAAAAGACAAATTTTGGTTACTGTGTAATAAATAACACACATTCCGCATGCCCCAAACAGTGTTCATGTCAAACAGAATGAACTATCGTAATGAACTGAACGTTGACAAAATTATTGAGCAACTGTTGTCCGTAAGAAACTCATTGGAAAAACAGGTGGGTGTCAGACGTAAGTACGTATGTGTTTAGTAATAGTTATTGGTTTTGACATAGTATTATATACAAATATAAAAGGTTGTAAAGGTGTGAATTAGTCTATGAAGTTTTCCTATTACGTTCGTCGTTGTATTGTACTATTTTATTCAACATCGACAATTACGTTGGTTCATATAAAAAGGAATTAAAGAAAATCAAGATCATTCACGTTGAATGACGTTAAAATTCATTTGAAATAAAATACACCCGGAAAAGGGCAAATTTACTGCCTACTGCCTTCTTAAATGACTATAAAGTTAAAAATAATAAAACTGAATATAAATGGTGTTTTTAAACCCAAGAATTTCATCGTAATAATAAACGTCTTGTCTTAACTAAGGTGATCAACAAACCACAAGAATATATGCAAATTGATTCTTAATTTGGTTTAACTACTATCGAAAGTACGACCAAAATATGAGTAAATTAATCTAAATAAGAATAAAAGCCAAATAATCAACATGTAAGGATTGATGAAGATGTAGAATAAACATTAATTTAAATAAAGAGGCCTAGCAGATCGTTATTTTACTATGCGATTAAAAAAAAGTAGAGAGCAAGACACTCTTGGGTAAATATTATTTTACTTAACACGACAGGCATTTACAAAACTTTCATGTTTGCTTGTTCTATTTGGATTATAACGACTTTCTCATGTTATTATCGAATTTAACATGTAATCTGAATAATTTAACATTGTTCCGAAAATGCATTTACTAGACCATGATAATACAAATACAGGGGTAGATAAACTTATTAAAATAAAGAGTGTGGATCAGATAAAAACAAGATAAACTTCCACTGATCACACTGCACTAGAAGACACAAATATATCCCTCCACTTTGAAATTAGAGTTAACCTATAGAAGTATATTAAACTTAAACTAGAACAAGTTTTACTTATACAGAGACGTGACGGACATTTTAAGAACCTATATGTCTGGTTCAGATAAACCATTGAAAATCAGAATCAGATGTACACCTAGACTCGGTTTAACTGGAAGGCGAGATAAGCAACTGCCTATGGCGGAAAAATCAATTAAAGTTTATATGTTAATTTAATTTTCAATAGAATCGACTATCTCGCTTTTCATATACTTGTCGTTTCTTACTGACCTGGAAACTGTCTTCATAGATTTGTAAGATAATCAAATTAAATATGAAACAAGTTTCTACCAAATTCAATAAATTAGACCATAGAGAAACACTTCACAGCTTTGGAACTAAAAAAGTGAGAAGAATCATGTTATTTTAAATGCAAAACAGTTTAAAGTAAGAAACAGGTAAGCCTATTAAAGGAAAAGTTTACTAGAAATGACAACACTTTGTTTATGTACAGTTATACAAAATGTATATTTACTGATGATAATAGTAAAGGAGATTTATGGTGGACGAAAATTGTAAATCTTGCCTAGGGTGACAAAATACATAAAGCTGGTCTTGTATTAATGCATATACAGCTAGAATAATGAAAATTAGCATTTGTTCAAAATCCAGGGAAATGATGGAGATCAAAATGTCGGGAGTTAGTATAAGCTCAAAAATCAGAACCAAGATTAAAGATTTAAATATTAGCAGCGAGCATTAACTCAAAGATCAGAAGCGTGTTAAAATTTTGGAAGTGGAAATTAGCTCAAGAACAACTCGGTATCCATAATAATGTGATTGTTAGATTGCGGAAATATCATTGGCTCAAATATCAGGAACTGTTAAAGATCAGAATGACAGATTTTTAATTTAGCTGAAAAAGTAAGGAAAATATTACGATTACAATGGCTGACACTATAGTTTAAAAATAATGAAGTTGGTAAGGATTAGAAGGTTGTAATTTATCATATAAATATTCAAAAATTAGAAATATTCTAATTAATAGTGCAAAAAAGAAATAACACTAGTTTGTTGTTGCCTACTTGTACAGTTTAGAAAATGTATTTTTCTTGTACACATCTCTTCCCCATATAATGTTTTCCTCCATTTGTTATATGCGGTAAGACATTCCATGAAATAGAAAGACGTTAGTAGAACGAGGAAATAATATACTAACTTAAAAAACATACCTAGTAACATAGTTTGAGTAAAATGCGCAGTGCAGTTATACTGTTTGTTTGTGTTATAACAAATGCACCTTGAGCTATCTGGTGTGTTCACCGCGGGAAATCGAGCTCCGGATTTTAGCGTTGTAAGCCCGCAGACTTATTGCTGTCCTACCGGGGAACACAGTAATATCAACCAAATAAGATGGATATGTTGCTGATTAATTTAACTTTAAATTGTTTTTTATAGCTCCTTTTCCAAACTTTTACAGATAAATATAATGTTTAGGATTGAAAAAGAAAAACTCCTAATCCAGTGGAAAGCAACAATAAACACAGAAATACAAGAAATAATGGTAAAGGCCGAGCAATAAAAAGCAACTGCAAAGCAAAACATCCTAGTTGACTCTTGGATTAATTACTTCTATTTAAGGAGCTTGAACGACGTCGAGCCATCTGGGAAAGATACAAGCACGTTTGGAAAGAGTAGAAGTAAAAAAAGTTATACGTATATGCTCTGTAAGCCTCGTATAACCTGGTGATTAAGGTGCTAGACTCCAATTTCAACAAACATGCTCACCCTTTCAGCCGTGGTGGCGTTATAATGTGACGGTAAATCCCCTTATTCGTTGATAAAAGAGTAGCCCAAGAGTTAGTGGTGTTGATTAACTGCCTTCTTTCTAGTCTATAACTTCAAAATTAGAAACAGCTAGCGCAAATAGCACTCGTGTAACTTTGCACGAAATTCAAACCAAGCAAGTCTAAAACTGCTCTTGCAGAAACAAATGATTGACACTGGTCATTAACGTACAAGTTGTAGCAGGTAAAATATGATTTATAAATAAATGTATCAGAATAAAATTTGCCAAAGTGTTAGGTAAAATATTTGAACATTTTATTTTAAGGATATGTAGATTTGGTTATAGATTTGCTCTGAGTTAAAATGAGTTTATAGAACTTGAACTTGATAACAATATTCAACAAATTTTGAGCATTAGATTTATGGAGATTTAAATATTTCACAGATAGACACGCTAACCACTTGCCAACGCCTGGCTCAAACTTGAATTCATTTGACTGGTGAATAATCAACCTTTCAAGTTATAGCATTTTATACGCAATTTCAGATGATCTTAATAGGCGGGCGTTGCCAAGTGGTTATCGTACTGGACTATAAATCTCAGACTCTATAGTTGGCGTCCTATTGCCGCAAAATCCCACTATTAGATTAGAGTAGCTCAAGAGTTAGCGGTGGATGGAGTTAACTAGCTGCCTTCCCTCTGATTTATCAATTCAAATTTAGGGATGCCTAATGTAAATAGTCCTTGAATAACTTTATGCGAGTATCCGAAACAAACAAAGAATCTAACGGAAAGAGTATTAACTCAACAACATGTTCTAACATACTGGGTGATTTACTATATTTTTACATTCAGTTCAGTGTGAAATATCTCATTTTATAGGATTTTCTTACAAGTTTTATTGCCATGAGCATGAAATAAGAAATATTTATTTTTATGGGTTTGAAGCCTCAAGAAACATAATGCATAGTGTTTTGCTGCTCGTGGCAATAACCGTTTACAATTTACCAGTTTTTAGAATTTTAGGCCAAAGGTATAGATAAAAATATTTTAAAATCAAACTTAAATAAACGTCATGTTCATTTAGTCTGGTTGATATTTCTGCATATTACTTGAACTGTGTTTGCATATAGAATGCTTAGAAAATTAAAGGAAATTAGAGCACAAAATATTTTTTATATTTCAGCTGTTTATTAAATATTTCGCCCCCCAGTGGCACAGCGGTATGTCAGTGGACTTACATGCACTACAAACCGGGTTTCGATACCCGTGGTGGGCAGAGCACAGATAGTCCATTGTGTAGTTTTGTGCTTAACTTCAAACAAACAAACAATTAAATATTTAATTTAATATTATTATTAAAGTTAAGCTTCGAGCATATTTTATGAGACCCATTTATTTACTTAATACAGTTAATGAATGCGTTTTATTGTCAATATTGTGCCATCATTATCATGATTTGTAGCTTATGGGAGTCTACGGACTTATACTTCTAGAAACCGGGTTTCGATACTCGTGGTGGGTAGAGCACAGATAGCCCTTTGTGTAGTTTTGTGCTTAATAACAAACAAACGAACTTATAGGATCACTCAATCCTAACTATTAATTAATACGAATTTTGTATACTTAGGTACTAATTACTAACCTATATGTTTCGGCTACTCATTTGCTGGCGTTTTCAGGGAAGTCCTAACAAGACTATTTTTGTATTACTAGTGTAAGAGATTCGTTTCTGGATGTTCTTGGTGAAAGTATGGTGCGTTATACATTCGTTTACACATGTTTTTGTGTTTGTCGAGTTTTTGTAAGTTGAACGACAACAGCTCGCCAGTGTCATATGAATATGTAGCAACATTAACCGAGTTTGAGATGATCACCAAAACAGCAAATGACGAACTCCATAGAAAATGAGGATACTGTGTTTCCCGGGGGGGGGGGTATGCACAATGCGCTGAACAATACATGCACTCTTACATAACAACAGATAACGTAGACAACATCGGAATAGCTTTCTAAAGTACCGCTTCTTCCCGTATTACATCTACGCCCGTTTAATGTGTTTTTACACATATATATAAATCATGTATATATATATACCAAGTAAAAATATATCCGACCAATAAGCTTATTGATGCCTGACCACTACCTTAGTGTTACAGATCTAAAAGTGATTTTGTTACGAAAAACAACAAAAACACCACATAGCTTTTAATCCATCAATCAGCTTTTTTCCCACATGGTTAGATCTACCCTTAATCGATAACCAATAATACCCACGAGCTCACTGTCTGCTGCAAAGCTTGCGCTCGTTGTATGTGTGTATGGGTGTGCTGTGAAAAACTTGGCA